AATAGTAAAACATTTACTAGATTTCCCATGAGACTGGGACAAAGCAAGGATGTCCATTCTCATCACTGCAACATTATCAGGAAGTCCTAACCAGTGCAATAAAGGGAAGTTGGTGGTGGGGGGGGGACACATAAAAATTCTAAGAGAAGAATCTCTTTATTCACAGATGCCATGACTGTTTAGGAAGAAAATTCTAAGAAATATATAAAACTGGAAAAACTAATGAGTAAACTAGTACAATTTAAGTACAAGGTCAACATACAAATATGAAGTATTTCTGTAAGCTAGCAGCAAACAATTTCAACACAAAATTAAAACAATTTCATTAACAGCAGCATCAATACAGAGATTTGAACAAAAAATGCAATAGACCTCTACAATGAAAGCTACAAAACACTGCTGAGAAGAAAACCTAATTACATAGATAACAATCATATTCCTGGACTGGCAAACTCAACATAATGAAGATGATCATTTTCTTCAAATTGATCTACAGATTGAACTCAATACCAAAATCCCAGCAAGCATTTTTTCTAGAAATTGACAACCTGATTTTAAAAATGTATATGGAAATGCAAAGGACCTAGAACAGCCAAAAGAAATTCTGAAGAAAAAGTGGAGAAAGTGTATCACCTACTTCAAGACTTAATATAAAACTGTAATTACTCAGACAGTGTAGTACTGGCATAGGAAATACACATCACTGAAACAAAACTGAGTCCCAAAACAAAACATAGCCAACGATCTCCCACAAAGGCACCAAGACCACCTAGAAAAGGAAATCTTTCCAACAAATGCAGCTAGAACAACTAAATAACAGTACATGAAAAAAAGAATAAACTTCAAGTGAACCTCAAGTCCTACCTCATCCCACACACCAACACTATTTCAAGATGAATCAGATTTAAATCCACAGGTAAAACTGTAAAACTTCTTATAAAAAAAAAAGACATAGGAGAGTATTTCTGTGCCCTTGGGGGAAAGTAAAGATTTCTTAAATATAGGATGCAAGAGGCTATAAACACTAAAAAAAAAATTTTTTTTTTTTTTTAAATATACTGGACATCATCAAAATGTAACCCTTCCAGGCCAGGTGCTATGGCTCACATCTGTAATCCCAGCACTTTGGGAGGCCAAGGCAGGTGGATCTCTTGAGGTCAGGAGTTCGAGACCAGCCTGGCCAACATGGTGAAACCCAATCTCAAAATACAAAAATTAGCCAGGCGTGGTGGAACACAAATGTAGTCCCAGCTACTCAGGAGGCTAAGGCACAAAAATTGCTTGAACCTGGGAAGCAGAGGTTGCAGTGAGCTAAGATCACACCAATACACTCCACCATGGGTGACAGAAAAAGATTCTGTCAAAAAATTAAAAAAAAAGGACATGACTACCATGTCTGCTTATCAAAAGACTAGCCATAGACTGGGAGAAAATATTCTTAATACATATATGACAAAAGACTTGTCACCAGAATACACCAAGAGCTCCTACAAGTCAAAAATAGAAAGACAATCCAATCTTTAGAAATGTGCAAAAGAGCTGAACAATCGCAGCACAAAAGTATACAAATGGTCAATAAGCTCATGAAAAGGTAAGCAACAGGAGTCCTCAAGAAATGCAAATTAAAACTATAATGAGATAGCATTTCACACCTACTTGGGCAATTAAAATTAAAAAGACTCTCAATACTAAATGTTGACAAGGATGTGGAGCAACCAGAACTCTCACACACTGCTGAGTATACACACAATGACACAACCACACCAGAACACTGTTTTGCAGTTTCTTATGGAGTCAGATTTCTATCTGCCATATCAGTCAGCAATTTCACTCCTGGTATTTACCCAAAAGAAATTAAACCCTATATCCCCACAAAGACTTTTATATAAAAATGTCATACTGCCTTTAATAACCAAAACCTGAAAACAAACTAGATGTCCACCAAAGGAGAATCACATATCCATATGATTCATATAATGGAATCCTACTCAACAATTAAAAAAAAAGAATTGGCAGGACGCAGTGGCTCATGCCTGTAATCCCAGCACTTTGGGAGGCCACAGCGGGTGGATCACCTGAAGTCAGGAGTTCTGACCAGCCTGACTAACATGGTGAAACCCCATCACGACTAAATACAAAAAATTGGCCAAGTATGGTGGCTCATGCCTGTAATTCCAGCACTATGAGGGCGGATCACCTGAGGTTGGGAGTTCAAGACTAGCCTGACCGACACGGAGAAACCCTGTCTCTACTAAAAATACAAAATTAGCCAGGCATGGTGGTACATGCCTGTAGTCCCAGCTACTAGGGAGGCTGAGGCAAGAGAATCACTTGAACCTGGGAGGCAGAGGTTGCAGTAAGCTGAGATTACACCACTGGACTACAGTTTGGGCAACAAGAGCAAAACTCCATCTCAAAAACAAAAATCGGCACATGCACCAACATGGATGAATCTCAAAAATATGAAAAAGACACAAATGAGCACATACTGTATTATTCCTTTTACGTGAACTCTGAAAACAGGCAAAAGTAATCTATAGTGCTAGAAATCACAGATGTAGTTGTTGGGGGTGGCGCTGGGCAGTATTATAAGGTAACACAAGGGAACTGCATGGGGTAAGGAAAATGTTCTACACCTTCACTGGGTTTTACTTAAACCCAGGATAGGGACAGGTCTACATTTATCAAACTGATTGTTTTTTATTTTAAAAAATATATATTTATAAAATTAAAAATGTAAGAATAGCTACTCCTGCTCGCTTCTGGTGTCCATTTGCATGAAATATCTTTTTCCACTCCTTTATGTGAGGCCTTGTGTGGCAGCTGAATCTCTTGAAGACAACAGATGAGTTCTGTTGGTGGATGAGTTCTTACCCATTCTGCCATTCTGTATCTCTAAAGCGGAGCACGTAGGCTATTGACATTCAACATTAGTATTGAGATTTGAGGTACTATTCTATTTATCATCCTACTTGTTTGCCTGAATACCTTGGCTTTTCTTTTCTTTATTATGCTATTGTTTTGTAGGTCCTATGTGATTTATGCTTTAAGGAGATTCAATTTTGGTATATTCTGAGAATCTGTTTCAAGATTTAGAGGTCCTTTTAGCCAATCTTGAAGTGCTGGCTTGGTAGTGGCGAGTTCTCTCAGCACTTGTTTGTGTGAAAAAGACTATCTTTCCTTCATTTATGAAGCTTTGTTTCTCTGGATATAAAATTCTTGGCTGATAACTGTTTTGTTTAAGGAGGCTAAACATAAGGCCCCAATCCCTTCTAGCTTGTACAGTTTCTGCTGAGAAATCTGTTAATCTAATAGGTTTTCCTTTATAGGTTACCTGAGGCTTTTGCCTCACAGCTCTTAAGATTCTTTCCTTCATCGTGACTTCAGATAAGATGACTATGTGCCTAGGTGATGATCTTTTTGTGAAGAATTTCCCAGGTGTTCAGGTGTTGTTTGAGCTTCTTGTATTTGGATGTCTAGATCTCCAGCAAGGCCAGGGAAGTTTTCCTCAATTATTTCCTCAAATGTATGTTTTCCAAACTTTTAGATTCCTCTCCTTCCTTGGGAACACCAATTATTCTTAGGTTTGGTCATCATTTTTTAAAATTATTTTTTCTTTGCGTTTGTCAGATTGGGCTAATTCAAAAGCCATATCTTTGAACTCTGAAATTCTTTCTTCTACTTATTCAGTTGTATTTCTGAGACTTTCCAGTGCATTTTGCATTTCTCTAAGTGTGTCCTTGATTTTCAGAATTGTGACTATTTTTTATTTATGCTATTTTACTGGAAATTTTTCTATTCATATCCTGTGTATATTTTTTTATTTTGTTAAGTTGGACTTCACCTTTCTCTGGTGGCTTTTTGATTGGCTTAATCGACCTTCTGAATTCTCTATCTGGCAATTCAGAGATTTTGTCTTGGTTTAGATCCACTGCTTATAAGCTAGTGTGACCTTTTTAGGGTGTTAAAGAACCCTGTTTTGCAATATTACTCCAGCTGTTTTTCTGGTTCCTTCTCATTTGGGTAGACTATGTAAGAGGGAAGTGTTAAAGAACCCTGTTTTGCCATATTACTCCAGCTGTTTTTCTGGTTCCTTCTCATTTGGGTAGACTATGTAAGAGGGAAGATCTGGGACTCAAGGGCTGCTGTTCAGATTCTTTTGTTCCACAGTGGTGTTCCCTTGACGTGTGCTCTCCCCTGTCCCCTGGGGATAGGGCTTCTGGAAAGCCAAACTGCAGTGATTGTTATTTCTCTTCAGATCTAGCCACCCAGTGGAGATACCAGGCTCCAGGCTGGTACTGGGGTGCGTCTGCAAAGAGTCCTGTCATGTGATCTGTCTCCAGGTCTCTCAGCTGTGGATACCAGCATTTACTCCAGTGGAGGTAGCAGGGATGTGAAGCAGACTCTGTCAAAGTCCTTCGTTATATTTTTGTTAAGTGCGCTGGTTTTGTGTTGGTTGGCCACCAGCCAGGAGCTGGTGCTTTCAAGAGCACATTAGCTGCAGTTGTATAAAACTGAAATTTTTTTTTTCTTGAGACGGAGACTTACTCTGCTGCCCAGGCTGGAGTGTAGTGGCAGGCTCTCACTTCACTGCAGCCTCTGCTTCCTGGTCACAAGCGATTCTCCTGCCTCAGCCTCCTGAGTAGCTCGTTACAGGCGTGTGCCACTGAGCCCAGCTAATTTTTATATTTTTAGCAGAGACAGGGTTTTACCATGTTGGCCAGGCTGGTCTCAAACTCCTGACCTCAGGTGATCCACCCGCCTCAGCCTCCAAAAGTGCTGGGATTAAAGGCGTGAGCCACTGTGCCTGACCCTGAATTTTTTAACTGAAGATCTATGCATATCGTTATATGTTAATTTCAATAAAAACAAAAAGCATCTTATTATTCATAGACTGATCTCACCTCATTATTTAAACCGTATCTCATATACACATTATGTAGAAGATGAGGTTCAGGATCAGTGAGATTTTAGCTCACAGGTTGAACATAGGCTCTTACCTTGCAAATCCTTGGGGCAGTTCTCCAAGGCCATAGAGCGGATAAAGGTACGGGCTTTTGCCATATCTTGCCAAAGACTCACTATAAAGTTTAATTCTATTAATGGTTTCACAACATGGTTGATCTAAGTAGCTGGAGGAAAGGAAATGAATATTAGGAAAGGGCTTTAGTTTTCATTCATGATGTTCAATTTAAATTATTTCTTGATGTGATTTCAATCCACTACTTTTTTTTTTTTTCCCCAGACAGGGTTTCACTCTCTCACTCTGCCCCCTGGACTGGAGTCTGGAGTGCAGTGGAGTGGTGTGACCTCAGTTCACTGCAACCTCCACCTCCCAGACTCAGGCAATTCTTCTGCCTCAGCCTCCCAAGTACATTACAGGTGCACACCACTACTGCCCAGCTAATTTTTGTATTTTTAGTAGAGAGGGGGTTTCACCATGTTGGCCAGTGGGTCTTGAACTCCTGACCTCAAATGATCTACCCGTCTCAGCCTTCTAAAGTGCTGGGATTATAGGCATTAGCCACCACACCTGGCCCACCACCTTCATATTTCACTTAAAACGCCCCAACACTAATTTCAACTAGAACCTCTTCTTTCGTAGTATAAAATGGCTACTCATTTGTTTTGTCAGAATTTCCACTTAAAAGAATTGGGAAATTTACTGAGAAATTCAAGAAAAATACAAATCTAAAAACCACAATACTTACTCATCAGTTCTGTAAAGTGCAAGAGCATGACCTGTAAAATCTATAACATCTTGGCCCAAATCAAATTTCTTATACACCTCTCGCATTGTGGTCTTCATAGGATCAATGCCTTCAAAAGTTCTCGGATCTTTTTCATCGAAGTTGGCAACATACACAAGGAATTTCCTGAAGCGACGTTTTTCAAACAGTCCCATTAAACCTAAATAAAATATTTTTCAAAATGCCCACTCTTACAATCAGACATTGACGAAAACAAAGTATGAGAGGAAAGTTTAAACATGCAATGCTGGCCGGGCGCAGTGGCTCATGCCTGTAATCCTAGCACTTTGGGAGGCCAAGGTGGGTGGATCACCTGAGGTCAGGAGTTCAAGACCAGCCTGGCCATCATGGTGAAACCCCATCTTAAAAAAAGAAAAAAAAAAACAAAAACATGCAATGCTATCCACTGAAGAATGTAGGATGCAATTTTTTTTTTTTTTTGGAGACCAAGTTTCCCTCTGTTGCCCAGGCTGGAGTGCAGTGACGCGATCTCAGCTCACTGCAACCTCCGCCTCCCAGGTTCAAGCGACTCTCCTGCCTCAGTCTCCCAAGTAGCTGGGATTACAGCCGCCCACCACCACATCCAGCTAAGTTTTGTATTTTTAGTAGAGACAGGGTTTCACCATGTTAGACTGGTAAGAAACTCATGACCTCAGATGATCTGACTGCCTTGGCCTCCCTAAGTACATGGGACTAAAGGCGTGAGCCACCATGCCCGGCCAAATGTAGGATGCAATTTAAGATAAGGGAGTTTGGACAACATGGCTTCCAGTTTCACAACACTTCAAAATAAACTGACACGATTATAACAGGTCACTTATGAAGTCTTCAATTTTACCATACAATTACAAGTAATTAAAACTAGTACTTAACTGAATGAAAAATGTCAAATTATGCCTCTCACTAGGTACAAGGTGTATGTGACTCTGAACAAGTATCCATGAAGACATCCATCTGAAGTCCTTTGACAACTGTGATTTATACTCAGCCAATTGCATAAATTCTGAACGTTCTTCCTTTTCTGCCTGTTTGCTAAGATACAGTTGGGCATTTAATGATAACAGCTTAAGATACCAAGAACAAATTGACCTCAATGAAATCCAGATGCTGCTGCTGCTGCTAGTCACTTACTTTACTGAGGTCCTATATAAGCAACCAATTCACTACATTTTACACTAAAAAAACAGGTGAAGAAGCTATTTTTCTACAAAGAAAGACAAATAGCCAATGAAAAAGAAAATTTTCTGGTTTTACCTCCCTTCGCCCCCCTTTCTTAAGTTAAACAGCTATTTTTAAAATACAACTACAGTTGTAAAAGCAAACTCTCGCCAGGTGCAGTGGCTCATGCCTATAATTCCAGCACTTTGGGAGGCTGAGGTGGGCAAATCACAAGGTCAGGAGTTCGAGACCAGCCTGACCAACATGGTGAGACCTTGTCTCTACTAAAAATACAAAAATTCCCCCCACTGCTAAATTTGACTGGCTAAATAATAAATAAATAAAATACAAAAATTAGCTGGGCTTAGTGGTACATGCCTGTAATCTCAGCTACTCAGGAGGCTGAGGCAGGAGACTCGTTTGAACCCAGGAGGCAGAGGGTGCAGTGAGCCGAGATCACGCAACTGCACTCCAGTCTGGGTGACAAACCAAGACTCCATCTTAAAACAAACATCTAAGTGTGTTTAAGTGGGTTTTCTAAATGTGAACTGTGCTTTGCCACTGGACTAGAAGAAAGGAAAAAAGAAAGAAAAAAGAAAACAAACAACAAAAAAAACTTTAAAACATTTCTATTGACTGCTTAATGTTTTGATAGATTTAGGAATCATCCAAGATCATTTTCCAATCAACAAAACTGAAAATTAAAACCATAAGGGGCCAGGCATGGTGGCTCAGGTAGGAAGATCGCTGGAGCCTAGGAGATCAAGGCTACAGTGAGCCGTGAACGTACCACTGCACTCCATCCAGAGCGACAGAGTGAGACCTTGTTTCAAAAAAATAAATGCATGAAATTATAAATGTTCTCAGGCCAGGCATGGTGGCTCACGCCTATCATCCCAGCACTTTGGGAGGCCAAGGTGCTCAAATCACTTGAGGCCAGGAGTTTAAGACCAGCCTGGCAAACATGGAGAAACCCCTTCTCTACTAAAAGATACAAAAATTATGGCTGGGCATGGTGGCTCATGCCTGTAATCCCAGCACTTTGGGAGGCCAAGGCGAGCAGAACACCTGAGGTTGGGAGTTTGAGACCAGCCTGATCAACATGGAAAAACCCCATCTCTTAATAAAAATACAGAATTATCCCGGCATGGTGGTACATGCCTGTAATCTCAGCTACTCAGGAGGCTGAGGCAGGAGAATCACTTGAACCCAAGAGGCGGAGGTTGCAGTGAACCGAGATTGCATCATTGCACTCCAGCCTGGGCAACAAGAGCGAAAATCCGTCTCAAAAAAAAAAAAATTAGCCAGGTTTGGTGGCATGCACCTGTAATCCCAGCTACTTGGCGGCTGAGGCAGGAGAACCGCTTGAACATAGAAGGCAGAGGTTTCAATGAGCCAAAATTGTGTCACTGCAGTCTAGCCTGGGCGACAACAAAAAAGAGTTAACAGTCCTCTTGACACTGAACGAGCAGAAAACATCTGGGATACTGTCTAGTCCAGCTGCCATATTATATACAGGATCTTGACTCATCAGAGATTCCCAAAGAGTGGCCAAGAGATCTAGATAGCATATTACATGAGAAAGGAGACTAAAGTATTTAGTATGGGAAAAAAATTAGAATTAGGAGGTATGTAATAATTGTTAAAATATATAAAAAGCAATAATATATCAATAGTTTTATATACGATAGGAAAATAGTACTGCTTGTGGTAAAGAGTGTGGGATTCTAAAGTCAAACAGACCTGGCTTCAAACCACTTACTAGCTATACTACTTTGTGCTGTCCTTTTATACCTCAGCCTTCCCATCTGTAAAATTCAAAGTAATAATAACAGCACCTGCATCTCACAAGGTTGCAGTGAAAACTATATAAAGTTAGATAATACACATAAAATACTTAATACATATATGCCTAGCACCTAAATGCTCAAAAAATTGTGAGTCTCTGTTAAAATTATAAAACTTGTTCTTACCAACCCATCCCTTGAACTTTGCCACCCCTCCACCTTTCCTTATCCCATTCCTTCATTCTGCCTAGAATTTTCTTGCTAGCAACTCAAGACTTCAAAATCCTTTCCATTAATATAAAGAGAGGCTGATAAGGCAGTGATTTGGTCAAAATGCATAAAACTGTTTACTAAAGCAAGTGAACTCTACTATATGTAAATTATACCTCAATAAACCTAACCTTAAAAAGACATACATAAGGATACGTGCTTGTTTTTCAAAAAGAAGAAGGATAAACCAGAATATTTACCTAACAGGTCAGAAAGAATGGACGTAGAAAAGACAGAATGAGATGCAGTGGCTCACACCTATAATCCTAGCACTTAGGGAGGCCAAGACAGGCGGATCACTTGAGGTCAGGAGTTCAACACCAGCCGGACCAACATGGAGAAACTCCATCTCTACTAAAAATACACAATTAGTCGGGCATGGTGGTGCATGCCTGTAATCCCAGCTACTCAGGAGGCTGAGGCAGGAAAATCACTTGAACCCAGGAGGCAGAGGTTGTGGTGAGCCAAGATCACGCCACTACACTCCAGCCTAGGCAACAACAGCAAAACTCTAACTCCAAAAAAAAAAAGAAAAAAGTATGAGACCAAGACTCTAAATATACCTTTTAACTTTCAAGCTGCGTAAATGTTTTATATATCTGAAAAAATTAGAGAAAATAAAACTGCCAAAAGATAAATTTCTTTTTTTTTTTTTTTTGAGATGGAGTTTCGCTCTTGTCACCCAGGCTGGAGTGCAATGGCGTGATCTCGGCTCACCGCGACCTCCGCCTCCTGGGATCAGGCAATTCTCCTGCCTCAGCCTCCTGAGTAGCTGGGATTACAGGCACGCGCCACCATGCCCAGCTAATTTTTTGTATTTTTAGTAGAGACGGGGTTTCACCATGTTGACCAGGATGGTCTCGATCTCGTGATCCACCCGCCTCGGCCTCCCAAAGTGCTGGGATTACAGGCTTGAGCCACCGCGCCCAGCCAAAAGATAATTTCTATTAGATGACAGAGGTAACTGGAGCCTTATTATATGTAAGAGCTCTAAGAAAGACTAAAAATGTACAAGAACTCACAACCTCTGTCAAAAAAATTCTACTTTTTATTTCTTATCTAAAAAAAAATTTGAGAAGCGGTATCCTCTGTTACCAGGTTGGAATGCGGTGGCGCGATCACGGCTCACTGCAGCTTTGACTTCCTGGACTCAAACAATCCTCCTGCCTCAACCTCCACAATACCTGGGACTACAGCACATGCCACCACATCTCATTTTCTTATTTTTTGTAGAGACAGGGGCTTGCTATGTTGTCCAGGCTGGTCTTCAACTCCTCACCTAAAGCAGTCCTCCTACCATGGCCTCCGAAAGCACTGGGATTACAGGCGTGAGCCACTCCATGCCACTGTTAAAAAGGATTCTATTCAAACTCCTACTTTTATGAAGATACTTATTTGGATTAAACTTTCATAGTCATTTAAAAGATTTAAAATAATTTCAAACCAATGATTACACATTGGTTTACCAATGTGTACACAACTACCTACCTCCAAATGAAAGAGAAACTGTTCCTTCCCTTACCCAATTGTCAATCCTAACCCAGCCATGATTCTAGGTGGTATTTTTTACTTTCTGGCTTTAGTGTCATTAATATTTTATACCCAATATTCTCTCCCTGATCAGAAGTAAATAAATAGAGACAGAGGAAACTGCCAAATTAATTCAAATCAGGTTTATAGATGAGAACTTTTCAGCACCGATGCCAAAATAATTACGAGAGAACTTATGAGTACTTTTCCTTTTCTCCCAGTCCATCGCTTTCCCTCTTCTAAATTCCTAGAGCCCTCACCTACCCTTAGTTATACAAATTTATCCTTCCCCAAACTGCTCCATATGAGGACTAAAACGTCTTGAAGGACAAAAGGTCTTTTCTAGGGTGTTTGTTATTTAAGAGAGACACTGTAATAGGAAATGTTAACCAGAAATCTTTGGTGGCAATAGAGGAAATAATGTCGGGCAGAGAACAAAATCATCCAAGGCCGGGTGCGGTGGCTCATGCCTATAATCCCAGAACTTTGGGAGGATGAGGCAGGCGGATCATCTGGGGTCAGGAGATCAAGACCGTCCTGGTCAACATGGTGAAACCCCATCCTACTAAAAATACAAAAATTAGCCAGGTGTGGCTCAGGAGGCTGAGGCAGGAAAATCGCTTGAACCGGGGAGGCAGAGGCTGCAGTGAGCCAAGATCGCACCACTGCACTCCAGCCTAGGTGACAGAGCGAGACTCTGTCTCAAAAAAAAAAAAAAAAAATTAAAAAAAAAAAATCACTTCAAACTCACTAAGAATTTCAAAAATCAAATATATTGGGGATCATTAACAAGACCAACTAGAAGATGAGCATCATCAGGATGAGTACTCCTCCTGCTGGCATGTTGGGTAACATAGCATAGGGTAAGCTTAGTAACATCATTAAGCACTAGGGCTCTGGAGCAACACTACCAGCATTTCAATCCCAACCCAGCTACTTATCCCAGCTACATATTACCAATGCAATTTTAGGCCTGAGTTTCATCACCTATAAAATGGAAACCCTATCTCATAGAGAGGTTTCAAAAGTCAAATAAGAAAACGATATGGAGTGTTCAGTACAGAGCCTTCAGACACAAGACATACTCTACAAAAAGCATAGCTATTATGAATTATTATGAAAAGAACCCTATTAACCCTAGATGGGATCTAGGGTTAAAGCTACATGGTCTATAGATGATCATCTGAACTCTAAGCTTCAAAGGGGTAGGAATTCTTGAACATTTTGTTCACTGATGTATTCCCAACTGCCTAGAACAGTGTCTGGCACATGACAGACATTCAATAAATATTTGTTGACTAGGCCCTAAGACACTTTTCCAGTATAAAATCTCATGCTGAGAAAATAAAACTACTTACTAGATGCCAGGGCTTCTGCTTCAGTGGAAGGAACCTTGTAGATTTTTCCACCCTTATAGACAAAGCTTCCTTCAGTCACTTTAAAATCCAGATAGCGAGTTACCTCTGTATAAAGCAGCATCTTAACCAGCTGACCTGAAAAGTCACATAATTCAAACTATAACTTAAATTTTTCTCAAATTTTTCCTGACAATGTTCAATAACTCCAATGAAATAATCATTTTTTGAGACAGAGCAGCCCTCTGTTGCCCAGGCAACCGTGCAGCAGCACTATCACAGCTCACTGCAACCTCAGCCTTCTGGGCTCATGCAATCCTCCAGCCTGACACTCCCAAGTACCTGGCACCACCACGCCTGGCTAATTTTTTTTTTTGGTATTGTTTTTTAGCGATTGGGCTTTGCCATGTTGCCCAGACTGATCTCAAACTCCTGAGCTAGCTCAAACAATCCACCCACCTTGGCCACCCAAAATGCTGGGATTACAAGCATGAGCCGCTGTGCCTGGCCCAAATTAATCTCCAAAGCTGTATTTTAAATGAGACAACCAAAATTCATACTTATCACACTGCACATTACAAGTTTTAGTTGCTTTCTTCCTACTCAACGTGGAATACATAGGTTTATTCTTTTTTTTGAGACAAAGTCTGGCTCTGTTGCCCAGGCTGGAGTGCAGTGTCATGATCTCGGCCCACTGTAAACCGCCTCCCAGGTTCAAGCGATTCTCCTGCCTCAGCCTCCTGAGTAGCTGGGATTACAGGTGCACACCACTAAGTCCAGCTAATTTTTGTGCTTTTAATAGAGATGGGGTTTTACCATGTTGGTCAGGCTGGTCTCGAACTCCCAACCTCACAATCCACCTCCACTTTGGCCTCCCCAAAGTGCTGGGATTACAGGTGTGAACCACGGTGCCCAGCCCAGTTTTTTCTTAATGTTACAACTTAAAGGTTAATAATTCTATCAACTTGCTTTTGCAAAAGCAATAAAAAATTTATTAGCGGTATGAGGTTCCAAATTAGAGTATTATTGGCCAGGCACATGTGGCTCATATCTATTAATCCCAGCACTCTGGAATGCCAAGGAGTGAGGACTGTTTGAGCCCAAGAGTCCAAGACCAACCCACACAACACAGTGAGACCTCATCTCTCAGATAACAAAAAAATTAGCCAGGTGTCGTGGGACACCCAGTTAATCAGGACATAGAAGTGAGAGGATAGCTTGAGCCCAGAAGGAGGGCTGCAGTGAGCTATGATTGCATCATGACACTCCTGCCTGGGTAACACAGTGAAACTCCTGTGCCTAAAATTAAAATAATAGGGCCAGGCGCGGTGGCTCACGCCTATAATCCCAGCACTTTGGGAGGCCAAGGCGGGTGGATCACGAGGTCAAGAGATCGAGACCATCCTGGTCAACAAGGTGAAATCCTGTCTCTACTAAAAATACAAAAATGAGCTGGGCATAGTGGTGTGTGCCTGTAGTCCCAGCTACTCGGGAGGCTGAGGCAGGAGAACTGCTTGAACCCAGAAGGCGAAGGTTGCTGTAACCCGAGATCATGCCATCGCACTCCAGTCTGGTAACAAGAGCGAAACTCCATCTCAAAAAAAAAAAAAAAAAAAAAAAGAAATACGGCCGGGTGCAGTGGCTCACGAGGTCAAGAGATCGAGACCATCCTGGTCAACATGGTGAAACCCCGTCTCTACTAAAAATACAAAAAATTAGCTGGGCATGGTGGCGCGTGCCTGTAATCCCAGCTACTCAGGAGGCTGAGGCAGGAGAATTGCCTGATCCCAGGAGGTGGAGGTTGCGGTGAGCTGAGATTGCGCCATTGCACTGCAGCCTGGGTAACAAGAGCGAAACTCCGTCTCAAAAAAAAAAAAGAAATACTTAGCTTATAATCCCAGCACTTTGGGAGGTTGAGGCAGGTACAACTCTTGAGGTCAGGAGTTGGAGACCAACTACATCTCTACTGAAAGTACAAAAATTAGTAGGGCATGGTGGCACGCACCTGTAATCCCAGCTAACTGGGAGGCTGAGGCAGAAGAATCACCTGAACCCAGGAGGCAGAAGTTGTAGTGACCCAAGATCACGCCACTGTACTGCACTCCTGCTTAGGTGACAGAGCAAGACTCCATCTCAAAAAAAAAAAAAAAAAATAGCTCCTCTAAAATAAAAAAAAGTGAAAATAAAATTTTAAAAGCCTACAGATTAGAAAAAATATTAAAATACTGCTGTTTGTAAAGGCCCAGTTATCTAAGACTGTCATAGAAGCGCCAACAGTAAGTCTGTGCCAAAGGCTCTCAATCTTGGTAGGTACTATGCCACAGCATCATTTGTTTCTCCAGAACCAACTACTAACACGTCACAACGCCTTCCATCCTTTCCTAAATGACTTCAGATATCTAACAGACTACGTTACTCACCATGATGTTCCATTCAGCAAAACCCAGTTCTTCATTCCCAAAACAGTTCTCCCTGTCAAAAGTCAGTTTTGGCATTCAAACTGCAATCCAAGTACTGTCATAAATTTAAGTTAGAATTCTTTACCATTAGCCATAAGGAACTTGGGAATCAAGTCAACATTCCAGTCTCTTCCTCTCCCCATTGACTCTGGTGGTGATCCCGGTATTTTAAATCTTTTGTATAACTAAAAGCAAGGACAAAAATACCCATAAGGTAATAACATTTCATTTTATTACAATATGTACATATTTTTTATTAAGTGTTTTTAGTATAATAATACCACTATGCTAGTAAAATATGAAGGCATTTCATCTTTTATTAGATAAAATTTTTAGCAAGGTTCCAATACATATGTAAATTAATTATCAAACTCATTATGGCAGAAGTGAGTTTTGTTTTTCACTAGCAGAAAATATACAAGAAGGCCAGATGCAGTGGCTCATGCCATTAATCCCAACACTTTAGAAGGCCAAGGCAAGTGCATCCCTTGAGGTCAGGAGTTTGAGACCATCCTTGCCAACATGGTGAAACCCCACCTCTACTAAAAACACAAAAATCGGCCAGGTACAGTGGCTCACACCTGTAATCCCAGCACTTTGGGAGGCTGAGGCAGGTGGATTATGAGGTCAGGAGTTCAAGAGCAGCCTGGCCAAGATGGTAAAACCCCATCTCTACCAAAAATACAAAAATTAGCCAGGCACAGTGGCAGACACCTGTAATCCCAGCTACTTGGGAGGCTAAGGCAGGAAAATCACTTGAACCCAGGAGGCAGAGGTTGCAGTGACCATCATGCCACTGCACTCCAGTCTGGCAAGAGAATAAAATGCCATCTCAAAAAAAAAAAAAAAACCTGGCTAGGTGTGGTGGCATGTGCTGTAATCCCAGCTACTCGAGAGGCTGAGGCAGGAGAACCACGTGAACCTGGGAGGTGGAGGTTGCAGTGAGCCAAGATGGCACCACTGTACTCCAGCTTGAGTGACAAAGCAGGACTCCATCTCAAAAAATAAATAAATAAATAAATAAAACAAGACTTTTTGTCAGGAAGTATATGCAGAACTAGTATGTCACTGATAATCAGAAATCATTTAAATTCATTCTCTCCCAAATAAAAAGCTATCAAAGGCTTAATTTTGCTTTTGTATTATGTAAGGAATCCAAAATAAACTCCAGATTCTTCCTAATCAAAAGACAATTAAAATTTGTTCATCAACTTATCATTTTTGAGCTTTACTAAGGTGTAACTGATACATAAAAACAGCCTATTTCCTGCATACATTTTGGTGAGTCTGGACATAATGTACACCCATAACATCACAAGGTACCAATTATATCCATCACCTCCAAAAATGTCCTTTTTTCTTTTATCATGTTTTGTGTTAAGAATACTCAATTTATAATTCACATGAATTGAAATGAAGCTCAGATTTTAAAAAGCTTAATAGTTTCACTCGAGCTCATGAATCCTACTAAGATAGAACAGAATAAGACAACTAGTAGATATTTATTCAATAAAAATTCTAACTGGGTGCAGTGGCTCATGCCTATAATCCCAGCACTTTCGGAGGCAGAGGCAGGAAGATCACCTTAGGCCAGGTGTTCGAGACCAGCCTGACCAACATGGTGAAACCTCACCTCTACTAAAAATACAAAAAATTAGCCTGGCATGGTGGTGCATGCTTGTAGCCCCAGCTACCCAGGAGGCTGAGGCATGAGAATCATCTGAGTCCAGGAAGTGGAGGCTGCAGTGGGCCAAGATCGTGCCATTGGACTGCAGCCTGGGTGACAGAGAAAGACTCTGCCTCAAAAAATTCACAACTCTTTGAACATATCTGGGGAGAAAAAAAGGAAAAGAAATCTTACTCATCGTATTGAAGATCAGCTAAGAAATATACTAGGCCAGGTACAGAGGCTTACACTTGTAACCTCAGCACTTTGGAAGGCCAAGGTGGGCAGATCACTTGAGGCCAGGAGTTCAAGACCAGCATGGCCAACAAGGCGAAACCCCATCTCTACTAAAAATATTTTAAAAATTAGCTAGGCGTGGTTGTCCACACCCGTAATCCCAGCTACTCAGGAGGCTGAGGCACGAGAAACACTTGAATCCAGGAGGTGGAGGTTGCAGTGAACCAAGACTGTACCACTACACTCCAGCCCGGGCAACAGAGCAAGATTCCATCCCCCCACCCCCGAAAAAAAAAATAAGGAAAAGAAAAAAAATTGTGGGGAGACTTGTAAATTAAGAGAATAAAGAGGTACCCAAGCAGTGTGGCTCTCACCTATAATCCCAACACTTTGGGAGGACAGAGTGAGAGGACACTTGAGGCCAGGAGTTTGAGACCAGCTTGGGCAACAAAGAGAGACCCCATCTCTACAAAAATAAAATAAAATTAGCCAGGCAGGTGGTATGCATCTTTATCCCCACTACTTAGGAGGCTGATGCAGGAGGATCTCTTGAGCCCAGGAGTTCAAGGCTATGGCAAGCTACGATCGCACCAATAAACTTCAGCCTGGGCAACAGAGCAAGACCCTATCTCTTAAAAACAAACAACAACAACAAAGAATAAAGGGGTGTGGTGGCTCACACCTGTAATCCCAGCACTTTGGAAGGCCAAGGTGGACAGATCACATGAGGTCAGGGGTTTCAGACCAGCCTGGCCATCATGGTGGAACCCCGTCTCTACTAAAAATACAGAAAAATTACCTAGGCATGGTGGTGCATGCCTGTAATCCCAGCTACTCAAGAAGCTGAGGCAGAATAATTACCTAAACCTAGAAGGCGGAAGCTAGAGTGAGCCAAGATAGTGCCACTGCACTCCAGCCCTGACGGCAGAGTAAGATTCTGTCTCAAAAATAAATAAAGAAATAAAGAAAGAAAGGGAGAGAGAGAGAAAATCATACCAAATATGACTGTGACATTGAACCTTTATTGATCCTGGTTTAAAAAACAAAAGAAGGCCGGGTGTGGTGGCTCAGGCCTATACTCCTAGCAACCCCATCTTTAAAAAAAAAAAAAGAAAAAAGAAATAAATAAAATAAAAAACAAAAGACTAACAAACAGCTATGTAAGAGATTACTGGGATCACTGAGAAATCTGAATACTGTCCTGGATATGGTAACGGTATTTATGCTTATGGAGGAGAAATGTTATTGTTAGCAGATGAATGCTGAAGTATTTTAATCAAGTCTCATGATGTCTTACTATTTTCAATGAATCAAAACCAGTAACAAGAAAAGAGACATGAAAAAAATACAGAAAACAAAAAAAAGAAAAAGAAAAAGAAAAAAATACAGAAATCACTAATTGCTGAACTCAGAAGATTTGTTATACATTGTATTCTTTTCGTTGTTTTTTTTTTTTTTTGAGACAGAGTCTCCCTTTGTTACCAGGCTGGAGTGCAATGGCCCAGCTCACTGCAACCTCCTAGCTTCAAGTGATTCTCCTGCCTCAGCCTCCTGAGTACTTGGGACTACAGGCGTGTACCACCATACTCAGCTAATTTTTTTATTTTTAATACAGACAGCATTTCACTATGTTGGCCAGGATGGTCTTAATCTCTTGACCTCGTGATCTGCCTGCCTCAGCCTCACAAAGTGCTGGGATTACAGATGTTCAGTGAACCACTGAATACAATAATACAATGCCTGGCCACACTGTATTATTTTTTAAACTTTTCTGTATTACTGAATATAGAAAAAAATTATTTTTGATAAGTATTAAGTCTAATGTCACTGCTTAAAGTCATCGATGAGACCTATCTCCCGTAAAACACAGTACAGTTCAACAAACCTCACACGCAGAAACAAATCAATAAATATTATAGTACACACACTGTGGAAATGCTATATGTATCCACGTTCACAGTATAACAAAAGGAACTAAGCTTTGTAGTCACATAACTTAGGTTTACAACCCATCTCAGATTTTAACCCCACAGAGACTATTTTGTAATCTGACAAATGGAGATTTAAAAAAAAAAATCTTTAACTGAAGGAATAAAAACCACAAGGAAAGCTCTGGCACATCAGGCGATCCTCTACCCTCCCTTTCTAGACTATACTCTATTAACTCTGAGAGAAGAAATAACTATTCCACGTAACAAAGGAAGTTAAAATGTAGATTTCTATGGGCTTCAAACTAAAAGCTCCTGAAAAACAGTGCTCCAGATATTCCATTTAATAAAACAAAATTAAGACCATCTCTAAGGAATAAGGAAGAGATTCACAAGTGAAATACTCACAAAATGTGAAAGGTGTTATGAAATTGACTAATACAGCTGGGCCCGGTGGCTCACACCTGTAATTGTAGCACTTTGGGAGGCTGAGGTGGGTGGATCACCTGAGGACAGGAGTTCAAGACCAGCCTGGCCATAATAGTGAAACCCCATCTTTAAAAAAAATTTAAAAACTTTAAAATTTTAAAAAAAGAAATTGACTAATACTTACATCTTCCAGTGGTGTTATAGACGCACTCTCTCCTCCATAGTAAGGGTTTTGATCCATATGAAGAACTTTCTTGCCATTCACTGACATTATACCAGACAAGATACATTCCTATAGAAAAAGCATAGTATCTTGAACAAAAGTTCTACAGCATGTTCAAAACAGATTTTTTTCTTAAAGCCCGCCATTACACATTCTCTTAATTATACTTACATTCATGCAACATGTGACTTAATTTATGGAAAAAGCCCTTAAGAAACCAGGGGTCCAAGTGTGGCTTGTGGGCCCTGTAGGTCCCAAAATTAAAACTTTCCATAACAACACTAAGACATTAGTCACCTTTTTATATATATATATATATATATATATATATATATATATATATATGTATATAATCTTTTTTTTGAGACAGAGTTTCACTCTTTTTGCCCAGGCTGGAGTGCAATGGCGCAATCTCGGCTCACTGCAATGTCCACCTCCCATGTTCAAGCGATTCTCCTGCCTCAGCCTCCCAAGTAGTTGAGATTACAGGCGCCCACCACCACCGCCAGCTAATTTTTTGTATTTTTAGCAGACACAGGGTTTCACCACATAGACCCGGCTGGTCTTGAACTCCTGACCTCAGGCGATTCTCCCACCTCTGCCTCCTGAAGTGCTGGCATTACAGGTGTGAGCCATGGCACCCAGCCTACTCACCTTTTTAAACACTGTTGATATTTCCACTCAAGATGTAAAATCAATGCTGAATAAAACAAATATGACTGGGCTCTAAACTATACTAGAAGTCATTACATTCTTCATCACCAGGCATTCACTTAAGTATGTCCTTGATAAAAGCATTAAAAAGCAACTTTACTGGCCAGGCATGGTAGCTCATGCCTGCAAGCCCAGCACGTTGGGAGGCCAAGGTGGGTGGATCGCTTGAGCCCACGAGTTTCAGACCAGCCTGGGCAACATGGTCAAACCCTGTCTCTACTAAATACACAAAAATTAGCCAGGCATGGTAGTGCATGTCTGTAATTTCAGCTACTCAGGAGGCTGAGGCAGAATCATTGAACCCAGGAGGCGGGGGCCGCCATGATCTGAAACTATACCACTGCACTCTAGCGTGGGTGACAGAGCAAGACTGAGTCACACACAAAAAAATAAACTGATTAAACATACAACCTTCAAGAATCATCTTTTAAATATTCTGTGTGACAAAATGGGAAATAGAAAGCACTTTGGCTCAGGGAAAACCTTCCGTGCCACTGATCTATAAGCTGAACCAGCCACTTTGTTATGAATAATCATTTTTATTTGAAAGAACTGACCAACAAACTACGGTTATTCAGAGTTAGGTATTTTCTCAAAAAACAACATAAAGGAAAATAACTGACATATCTGTTGCCAATAACAAAAAGTCAAATTTTAAATAAAAATTAGAATTATGGAAAACTTGTCCAGGTGCAGTTACTCATGCCTGTAATCCCAGCACTTTGGGAGGCAGAGGCGGACAGATCACCTAATGTCAGGAGTTCAAGACCCCATCTCTACTAAAACTACAAAAAATTAGCTGGATGTGGTAGTGGGGTGCCTGTAATCCCAGCTACTTAGGAGGCTGAGGCAGGAGAATCAGTTTAGCCTGGAAGGTGGAGGCTGCAGTGAGCCAAGATCTTACCATTGCACCTCAGCCTGGCGGCAGCAAAAACAAATCTTCATCTCAAAAAAAAAAAAGAAAGAAAGAAAATATACTCAGGCAGATGGCTTAAGCCCAGGAGTTGGAGACCAGTCCAGGCAACATGGCAAAACCCTATCTCTGCAAAAAGTACAAAAAATAGCTGGGCATGGTGGCGAGTGCCTGCAGTCCTAGCTACTCAAGAGGCTGAGAGGTGGGAGGACTGCTTGAACCCACCAGGGCGAGGGTGCAGTGAGCTGTGATCAGGCCGCTGCACTTCAGCCTGGATAACAAAGTAAGATCCTATCTCAATAACAAAAAAAAAGTACATGTACATTTAAAATTGTTACACGTTAACATATAATGGGTTTATTATTTGTCAGTGAATTATTTATTCCTCCATTTCTAATATGATCGATATCAATAGCTACAACCCTTGTAACAAAAGCTCTTCAAGGTCCTTAATTGTTTTAGAATGTAAACAGATCCTGAGACTAAAAGCTTTGAAAACTAGAGCCCTAAGCAAAGCATCTAGAATAACCACCAATAAATTACAATCAACAGCAAAGTATAAATGACCACTCTCAGGAAAAAGATAAAGCAAGAATGGATACACTAAGACAAAACAAATTAAGAAGAAGGAAAACATTAAAGAATACTAAAGAATGCAATTAAAGTGAAGAAATACAAGGATGGGGCCTATAATCACTCAAAAAGGTGATCAGTGTTTTCTTAAAGAGACAAAGAAAATTCCACGTATCTATCAACCCTTAATGTTTCTCAAATTTATCCAAAGGACCCTAGATGTCAAAAAACAATCTTATTCTCTAGAAGTCTATTTGACTCTGAAACCCTGATATTTAAAATTTGCACAAATTTCAAGTTTTCTTCCATCATGTATCTACTCATTTCACTTTTAAATATTTTAACTTACTTACCATAAGGTTCAAATCTTACTACAGAAGTGTAATTTCTTTTTCTTTTTCTTTTGACCCTAACCCTAACCTGTTGTCCACACTGAAGTGTGGTGGCATGATCTCGGCTCACTGCAACCTCTGCCTCCTGGGTTCAAGTGATTCTCCTGTCTCAACCTCCTGAGTAGCTGGGATTATAGGCAGGCACCAGCATGCCTGGCTAATTTTTGTGTTTTTAGTAGAGATGGGTTTTCGCCATATTGGCCAGGGTGGTCTTGAACTCTTGACCTGTGATCCACCCACCTCAGCCTCCCAAAGTACTGGGATTACAGGTGTGAGCCACTACACCTGGCCTGAATCATTTTTTTCTTTGGCTCAAGAAACAAACCATTCTAAGCACTCCAGAAGGCCCTCATGCCCTATTCCAATCATAACCACCACCATCCCCCAGCACTCTCATAATTTCTAATAACAATATTTGTTCTGCCTGCTTCTGAACTCCATAAAAATGGAATCATGTGTATTTACTTTCTGCATCTGACATTATGCAACGTTTCAAAAAATTCTTTCATGTTTTGTGTGTGGTCTATTTATTCTCATTGCTATAGAGCAGAAGTCCCCAAAGGCCATGAGCCAAATCCAGCCTGAAGACTATTTCTGTAAAGTTTTATTGGCAAATACTCATATCTGTTCATGTACATACTGTTTATGGCTGTTTTCCTAGTACCACAGCAGAGTTGGGCAGCTGTGACAGAGACCAGAAAGTCTACATCACCTAAAATATTTGCCATCTGGACCTTTCCAGAGAGTACACCTAACCCTGCAAGCAGGGCTTCTCAGTGTAGTTCCTGACTTGGCATCACCTGCCAACTTGTTAGAAATGTAAATTCTAAGCAGAATCTCAAACTTCAGGTTTATTCACTTCAGCTGGAAGGCTTGAAAAAAAAAAAAAAAAACAGATAGCTAGGCCCCATCTCCAGAGCTTCTTAGTTAGTAGGACTAAGGTTGGGTCCGAGAATTTGCTCTTAAAATAAGGTGTAATATGGGCCAGGCAGCGTGGTTGATGCCTGTAATCCCAGCACTTTGGGAGGCCAAGGTGGATGGATCACTTGAGGCCAGGAGTTCAAGACCACCCTGGCCATCATGGTGAAACCCCATCTCTTTAAAAAAAAGAAAGAAAAGCAATTATTAAAAATAAGGTGTAATATGAAAAAAAAAAGAGAGAGGTGGGGCAGGGGCAGACAGGGTCTCACTCTGTTGCCCAGCCTACAGTGTAGTGGTGTGATCATGGCTCACTGCAGCCTCAAATTCCCGGCTCAAGAGATCCTCTCACCTCAGCCTCCCGATTAGCTGGGACTACAGGTGTGTGCCACTACGCCTGCCTAACTTTTTAATTTTTTTGTAGAGATGGTGATCTCACTATGCTGCCCAGCCTTGGTCTTGCAAAGCAAGCTTTGCCTAAGCAATCCTCCCACCTTGTCCTCCCAAAGTGCTGGGGTTACAGGTGTCAGCCACCACTGATGATGAGGTGATAGTGATGATGCTGGTCCGGGACCAATTTCAAGAATTACTAAAGCTGTGTTTGCAAATTTTAGCATATAAAAATAACCTAGAGATCCTGTTAAAATGTAAATTCTGATTCTGTGTAGTATCTGGGTTGGGACCTAAAATTCTGTATTTCTGGTAAATTCTCAGGTGCTGCAGATGCAGCTGATCTATGGATCGCACTTTGGGTAACACAGCTGTAGAGGATTCCATTGAATGAATAAACCACAATTTACTTCGCCATTCTACTCTTGGTGGATATTGGGATAGTTTCCAGTTTTTTACTATTACAAATAATACTCTTTGAACATTCTCATATGTATCTTTTAAGTGTGCATTTCTGTTACATATCAAGAAGAGCATGAATACATTCAACTTCAACAGGTATTACCAAACAGCTTTCCAAAATGGTTGTACCAACTTACACTTTTGTCAGCAGTGAGTCAAAGTCCCCAGTGTTTCAAATCCTTGACCACTTATACTGTTGCCTTTTTAATTTTTAGCCATTCTAGTTAAGAAGTGATTTAAGGGGCGCGGTGACTCACGCCTGTAATCCCAGCACTTTGGGAGGCCAAGGCCGACAGATCACAAAGTCAGGAGGATCCAGACCAGCCTGGCCAACATGGTGAAACCCAGTCTCTACTAAAATACAAAGTATCAGCCAGGTATGGTGGCGTGCCCCTGTAGTCCCAGTTACTGGGGAGGCTGAGGCAGGGGAATCGCATGAACTCAAGAGGCAGAGGTTGCAGTGAGCTAAGATCACACCAATGCACTCCAGCCTGGCAGCTGACTCCATCTAAAAAAAAAAGTGATTTAATTTGCATTTCCTGATGACAAATAAGTTTAAATAGTTTTTTGTTTTGTTTTGAGACGGAGTTTCGCTCTTGTTACCCAGGCTGGAGTGCAATGGTGCGATCTCGGCTCACCGCAACCTCCGCCTCCTGGGTTCAGGCAATTCGCCTGCCTCAGCCTCCCGAGTAGCTGGGATTACAGGC